TTAATCATCACAAACAAAGGTCACATTGATGCACCATTTTCATATTTACCTGGTAATAAGTTACATACTAACCAATTTGAATTTTCTCCAGCAGAAGGAGTAGTAAAAGTTGGGGAATGTCAAACCATTCAGGTAACTTGTTTAAATCATAAAATATAAACCAAAAATAAAGAGGGAGAGAAAAGAATAGAAATATTTTATACAGTTATTTTTTTAATACAAGATATTTTAATGAATCCAATTAAACAGATTTATTCAAAAAGTACCTGTATCATAACAGATAATAAATTTAATTTAGAAGTTTTAGTATACTGTACAATATTTTCCTCATGAAAACAATATAGCTGCACAGTGCAATATATAGTGCACAGAAGGTATTTAACTGCACTCTATAATTAACTTTTAAATTAAATTTATAATCTGTCACTTATTTCTACTTTAATTACCTAATTTTACGTAATTAGAGGTGTGTAGGATGTTATATATATATATATATATATATATATATATATAATATATATATATATATATATATATATATATATATATATATATAAAAGCTAGTAAAGTTACTGCTATTTTTCCCAATGCTTTTATAAAATCTTAGTCTCTGGCTGTGAACATCAAGTCTTGCAATGAATTTTTGAGTCACTTCCCAATTACAATATTCAATAATTTGTTTTGCAATAAATCAATTAATTTGGTTAATTTTAATTAAGTTTATTTTTTATATGGAAAAACGAATAATAATTTTTAAAATTAGTATATTATTTGTTTCCTACTTATATGTGCGTTTAGCTTATTTGGATAAGGCATTGACTTCGAGACCTGCCTCTTCCTGAATTTTTTTGTTTTTTTACACATGCATACCGCCAAATGTTAATAAAATAAAATAGTAATATCAGAAAAAATTGATTGCAAAGTTTTTGTTTTGATAACATATAAAAGCATTGGGTTTTAAAAATTCGTCTTAACATATAAAAGCATTGGGTTTTAAAAATTAATTTTACTTGTTGTATTCTTGTTGAGTACTTCACTTGGTTACTATTTTCTTAAAGTCCCATTGTTGTGAGAAAAAACTTCTAACTTACTGACAACTAACACTAACAGCACATTCTTAACCAAGATTGTTAAATAGGTTTTAGTTTTTATAGGCTCCACACATGTGAAATTTAGCTACAATTAGCTAGATATTATTAACTTAAATAAATCTATCTGGGCTAAACAAGCGGGAGAGAGGTATTTTAGTGCTTATCTATAAAACTTAAAATAAACTTGCTTTCAAACTAGTATTATTATTCCAAAGTTTGAAAGAGTGTTTTAAATATTTACTTTGTTACTTGTAAATTTACAATATCTGCAAATACACTATTGGGAACTTGCTGATTTTTATTTAACTTTTCAAATCATATAATCATTATAAATTATTGAAAAATTGAATTCAAAATTTGAAATTTCTTACTCATAAAACTGATTCCTGTTTTTAAAATTACTGAGCTAGCTCATTTGTATCTACCATTAGCTAACGGTAGAAACAAATACGAACATACTAATTAAAGCGGCTAAATAGACCTAAACAGGCTGCAGTCAAATGAAGTTTTAATGAGTGGTTAAAATAAAATTAATTTTTAGAGCCAGGTTCCTTGAATATTAGCCCAATTGTTTAAAATAAGCCACAACTGGCAACTTGAAGTAAGCCACCATCTTTGAACTTAAGTTGGTTATAGGTGTATAAAAATATTTTTAATTAGTAATTTCAATGTTACAACACTGATAGATTATCTTGAAATAAATTGAATTGTATTATAAAAGCTAAAATTAATTATTTTCATAAAATGGCAACTGTTTTAGTTTTGTAAGATATTATTGATGCAAAAAGATTACATGTAATAAATTTAAATGAAAATAAGTTTAGAGTTCTAGGTATTATAGTTCTTTCTATAAACAACAAACTCTGTAAACTACAACTCAATTACATTTTTGGTTAAAACTACTTGCTGTTTGCAGTCAAGTATAATTGCGTATTCGGACATGACTAGTGGACTCAGTAGATTCAGTAGCAATAAAAGGGTTAGTTTACATAAAAAGTTTATTTCTCTTGCTTAGCTGCTTTAACTTTAAAAACACCTGGAAATCAGCAGAAAATTATACTTTTTTATTACTTTTTATACATATAGAATTTGAATTTTATACTTTTAAAAACACCTGGAAATTAGCAGTGTCTGAGGAATATACTTTTTTTTTTTATCTCAAGTTTTTCCCATTCTCTGAAGTAAAAAATTAAAAAAAAAAAAATTTGATTAGTTTGTTTTTTCTTATGTTTTATATTTAATTTTTTTGTAAATTTATAGATGATCTTTAAGTCTAATACTATACTTAAGGATCATTTCGCTGCAATTGTGCAACATTTTAAGGGAGACCCTGAAGTTTGACAAGAGGCACTGATAATAGAGGCGGGAGAGGGGGGGGGGGGGAAAGTTGCTAAAAAAAGCTCTGTGAACTAGTTGTCTTTCATTTAGGAGACAATGTACTGAAATTTAATTTTCATCAACCTGAAGCCTGCTATAAAGCTAGGTACAGTTAAACTATATTAATAGTAGTTTTTGTTTTTAGGAGAAAGTTCATTTTCTAGGAGAAAGTTCATTTTTAAGGAGAAAGTTCAAGTTTTTCCAATACACATAATAATAATAATTTATTTCTTAAGGTTCATGGCAGATGCTTTATACCTGCTGACTCTGAGGATGACTGAGAAGGCAACCCAAATAATGAATGAGGAAGAGAAGATGGTAAAGGCAGAGACATTCTTTGTTACTGTATGGTATGGAGCCTGGTTCTTAAAATTCTATATGGTGAACAAGTCGACCTTAAATGACTTAGCTGTCTTTAAGTCATTGCTTGAAATAAGCAATAAATCTTGAACAAAATTATTTTTACCTTGTACAGAATACTTGGTATTTAACATAAAATTTATCTTAGTAACAATGATGTTGAGTAGGAGGTAAAAAAGTAGATATTGAAGAATATTATTGAGTGTAATTTGAGCAGTTGTATAAGAATATGGTTGAGTGTCTTTGAGCAGTTGGTTATGAGCTGGTCAATAGAGTTTACTCAGATTGTAGATTCCAGATTTAGATCTTGCTAAACTACTTGCAATCCCTGTTAGAGAGGTGGAGAATTAGATAAAGGGAGATGCCAATCAGACATTAGCTATATTTAAAAGGTTTTTGAAGTTGATTAAATGAAAGTATTAATAAATGCTTTATATTTTGTACTATATGTGTGTGTATATATGTATATATATATATATATATATATATATATATATATATATATATATATATATATATATATATATATATTTTTATATATATATATATATATATATATATATATATATATATATATATATATATATATATACATATATGCCTATAGTTTTTTCATATGAAAACAAGTTTATGAAAAAATGTATACGTATAAAGACAAATTAATTATTGACTGCGTTTTTGTGTACCTGGTAATGATTTTTTTCTGTAAATATATGTTTTTTTTGCAAAAATTAGTTCCTGTAAGAAACATTTATAAATAGTAAAATTTTTACATTATCATATTTATCATTATATTATAAACTTTATTACACTACTAAACTTTTTTATTTTATCAAGAGTGATAGATTATCTTTATCAAGGGTGATTTATCAGACTTTATCATTTTAAGTTAATTCTAGAGTTTCTTGTATACTTCAAACAAATTTAAAGAAGAAGTTAAAGGATATATTACAGAATCAATAATTTTATTTAGTTTAGATCATAAAAAATTTCATTATAATTTTAAGTAACTTTAGGCAATGTGCACATTTTTGTTTTAAAAACATCAAGAAGTTCATTTTCAACTAAGTTTGAACATCTCAGATATATTAGAGAAATATATATTTTTTTATTTGTGAAAATGTTTGGCATAGTTTTTTATAAAGAATTTTACTACTAACTACTAGTGTTGCCAGTCTACAGTAATCAGTTTTGTAATACCAAACTGCAATATTACCAGATAAGTGCATTTGTTTTTAAGGCTTTTGGGACAAAAGACAAATGCTCTCACTGAACTACATTTGCAGATATAATTAGTAGATGCACACAATATGATCCTCTCATGACATCTAATAATTGGTGTTCAGATATTATTCAAAGCAAATATTATTTTAGATCAACTGAGAATAAGTCCAAACAATTTGCTTCCATGTTTTCAGATAGAAAAATTGCCAACAACTTTACCTGTGGTAAAAAAAAATCTGGTACTGGTAACTCACGGTCTTGCCCCTTATTTTAAAAAAGTTATAGTTAATAATCTAAACAATCTGGATAACTTTATATGTCTCTTTGATAAGTCTTGCAAAAAAGTTGTAAAAAATGGTTGAATGGGGTTGCACGTACAATAATGGAATGAAAAGAGTTATACTGTTTGTAGAAGATATTAAATTTAGAGTTTATGAGAAAAGCTACAGCCTCATGACTGGTTTGAATGATGAAAAAATGCTAAAGTATCTATAGACAGCCCTAATGTAAATAAATAATTTTTGGCAATGCTCAATAACAAAGAATAATAAATTAAATATTCTCATTGATATTGATACCTGTAGTTTGAATATTATCAATGGTTCCTTCAAAATGCGGTTATGGTGTAATGGTGGAGCACTCACTTCATAAGCGAGAAGTTCCGAGTTTGATCTCCACTGCCTCTCTAGTAGTACTATGCTCAGCTTATTTTTCTGCGCTGTGGCCTTGTTTGTCAAGGTTTGTGTTTCAGAGTTTAAAAGTTGAGAGAGGATTGTAACCACAATAAAGTAGCATCCTCGACTATGGTGGACCTTTAGGCCTTGGGGTGGTGAATTACGTTAAAAAAAAATTATAATTTGGATGAGTAACACTTTTTGTTATTATATTTATAGCAGTATGGAATTTTTCAAAAAAAAAAAAAAAAGCAAGTTATTTAAAGAAAATTTATATTTTTATTAATTTAAATGCTTGTTTTTATTAAATATTTTTATTTCGTTAAAATGTTTAGATAAAACTTTACTCAATAAATTTGGGCGAGTTTATGGAACATTTTTCTTGGTTAGTTGGTGGTTCAAATGAAAAATCCATCACTATAAGGTTTTTAATTTAATAATAGTTTTAGCTTAATATAAAAACTTTTGTAAAATATTTATGATAAATATTTAATTTTTAAATATTTATGAACATTTTTTAGAGGTTGTGTAATAGGTCCAACATTTCATTTTGATGTAATTAAATTAAGATTTGGATTGATCTCTTATGGTAATATAATTTTCCTTTAAAATTTGTAAAAGTAGTTGTAAAAAAAGTCTACAAAAACTAGCTTTAAGAATTTTTTTTCAACTTTTTTCAGGTTTTACCTATGAAAAATTTTGTAGGCTCATTAATACATCATCTGTTCCAATATCTTTTTGTTTAACATTTCCATCAGATGGTAGAGGAATATGTGCTGCAGAACATGTAAAAACAGGCAACTTTGATTTACCATATTGTCCAAAAGAATTTAAGGTTACACCATCAAGTGGTACCTTATGTCCTTTTTCTGATATTCAGATTCAGGTGTGTGCAATTTTTATTTTAATTTTTTAAATTGATATTTTGGTTTTTATTGACTTATATCTCTGATTTATATATGCATGAAATATCATTGATGATGTAATACTGAAATAGCCATCTGCAGATGAAAATATATATTAAATATATATTTAACTTATATTTTATATAACCAGCAGTTTTTGCTATTAAGTTGCTTCAAGCTGGAGTAGATTAGATTTTGTAAGAAAATAAAGTTAACTCAAAAATAAAAAAGTTCAACTAGCTTGCTAGAAGTTGACTTTTTTAGCTCCTAGCTGAAAAGTCAACTTTTAGCTGTCTTATTTGAAAAATAAGTTTGAAAAATTGACATAAATAAACTGCTTTAAAGACACCAATTTTTGTATAATTACAAAGCTTGAAAATTAACTTTATACAGAAAAAATAGCTAAAAAGATGAATGTTTTTTTTTCTAACTTAAAAACAAAAATATCTGAAATTTTCATGTTAACTATCTATTTAAACCCAAACAAATTGCAGCATTTAAAATTATGATTTTTTATAAATGACATTTAATTTACATAAGTTCAACTAATTATATGGCTTTTATATAAAACTACTTATTTTTGCAATACCTAAACATATCTAAAAATTTATAAAAACTAAAAAATGAATTATTTACATTTCATTATATACAAAAATGCAAGGGAAAATATTTTACACCGACATTCATTTTAAGAATTCATTAATTTTAGCTCACTCTAGTTTATGTTTCATAAAGAATAATATGTAAAAAAATTATTACATATTATTCTTTATGAAACATAAACTAGAGTGAGCTAAAATTAATGAATTCTTAAAATGAATGTTGGTGTAAAACATTTTCCCTCGCATTTTTGTATATAAGGAAATGTAAATAATTCATTTTTTAATTTTTATAAATTTTTAGACATGTTTAGGTATTGCAAAAATAAGTAGTTTTATATAAAAGCCATATAATTAGTTGAACTTATGTAAATCAAATGTCATTTATAAAAAATCATGATTTTAAATGCTGCAATTTGTTTGGGTTTAAATATAAAATTCATATATAAAATTAATGAAATAAAAATAAGATAGAATCAAAAAGACTCGCAAAAAACTTTCAAAAAAACTTTCAAATTTTCCACATTATAGTCTAATAAAGATACTTCCACTTGAAACAATTGATTTTTCTAAAAAAAATTGAAAATCAGTGTCTATTGAATATATAATAAGTTCTACAAAAGAATATATATCAATAAACAACACCATGGTTTATTTTGAATAATTACCATTTGTTTAACTAGTTTTGTCTTTCACTATGTCTTCCACTACTACTATGGATGTAATAATAAATAATTATAGACCGCAGTGATTGTATTTATAACTGAGTTTCCACACATTGTTAATTTAAAAGTATAACTTATAGTAGTTTTGGTTACTTTTATTGATTTTCTTTGAGTTTGTTTAGTTTTAAATTTTATTGTTGCTTTGTTTTAGATTCAATTTACACCATTAAGCTCAGGCAGTTATAAAACATTTCTTGCAGTTAAAATTGATGGTTTAGGGGAGAATATTTATAAGCTTCCTGTATCTGCAAGGTTAATAATTATTAAATTTTAAAAAAATAAATATTTATTTTAATTTTTATTTTCATTATGTTTTACTTTTTTTTTAGATCAATCATTCCATCAATCAATTTACTGACACCACTATTGGATTTTGGTCGGTGTTTTATCAACTATCAGTATGAGAATTTTATAGAGTTGCATAACAGTTCTGACTTTCTTGCAAAATATGAAATTCAAGTTGAGGTAAAAATGATCAAACACTATTTCAGATTATAGCCAGTAACAGGTTTCAAGATTTCAAATTTATATTTTGTTTTTTATAGACCAAAGATAACACTGCCATAACATGTTTGTTGCCTAAAGTAAGATTTTGCAATTTTCAATAATTTTGGAAATTAAGTTGGTAATTTAAAAAATTAAAAATTTTTTTATTTTGAGGTAAGTTTATGCAATTAACAATTATTTTAAGTAATCCCTCTAAATATGAAAAAAAAAGTATGCATGTGGCATCGTTTTATGTTTAGGAATTATGCATTGTTTTAGGTTCAGATAAAAACGAAAAGCTTAAAAAGCTAAATAAAACATCTTTTTTATAATTATTTACATTATTTTCATTTTGTTGTAAACAATATTTGTTAGGCATGTTGTAAGGACCATTTCTAAATTTCAGAAAACACACTAATGTAAATGTCTTCAGCATTGCTCTTATTTTTTTCTGGAAAGAATTGTTTGATGTTTTCTTGGATACAAGTTGTGTTATAAATAAATGAGGCTATTTATTTTATAATACACAATTATTGAAAACAGAAATTACAAGAGAAGCTTTTATATTTTATGTTAGGGAATTATTGAATTTCATAGTACATGTAAGATTCCTATTCAGTTAACACTTGAAAATGTGGTTAACATTTCAACTGTAATCAAGATTCATATATTTGGTTGTCTTGACCAAGTTAAGGTACAAATTTAATATTTTTCTACTTGATAATTTTTTTTTCAATTTTCAAAATATTAAATTTTGTTTTAATTTATTTTAATTTTTAATAATATTAAAGTTAATAAACAATTAGTTAATGTATAACTTTTGTTTAGGAAGTAAATTTAAAAGCTAGAGGTGAAGGACCCGTCATCTATATTGATAAACCTGATATAGACTTTGGAAATATTGCTGTATTACAAGATGCAACTTGTAATCTCCAACTTTCAAATGAATCTCCAATACCAGCTCATGTTAATTGTAAAATGGTAAAATTTTATATTAAAGTTATTTTGCATCTACAATATCATTAAGTGTATTTATTTATTTAATTTGTTTTGAAACAATTTCCATAACTTTTGTTTTGTAATCAAAAGTTTATAAATCTAAATAAAAATATGTGAATGTATGGAAAATATATGAATGTATTAAAAATAAAAGATTATATGAAAATATAAATGTATAAAAAATATATGAATGTATAAAAAAAATATAATATTTTATGAAAAATACAAATGTTACTATTTTAAAACATTTTTAAAAATATAAAATCTTCTATATATAACTTATTATATTAATACAAAAGATTTGAATATCTTTAAAATAGATTTCAGAAAAAATATTCAATTATATTACTTTGTCTTTTAATTTTATGTTTAGTTGCATTTAAATTCTCCATTTCACGTTGAACCTTTATCTGTATTAATTGATAGTCACTCAAAGATTACATTAAAAGTTATTGCAAATGTCAATGATAATGTTAGGTAATTTTGATCAGTATATGTCTGTAAATTTTAATGAATGGAAACATTCTGTAAACTTTGGTCAATTATAATGTTCAGTAATTTTGATCAATAACAATCTCGTGTAACTTTTGAATAATTATATAGTTGTGTAGTATTTAGATTTTTAAAACATCGCAATTATTTTGTGTTTAAGATTTCAAGATAAAGTTATAATTTATGTAACAAATGGTCAAACTTATGTAATTACTTTGAAAGCAAATGGCCAAGGTTCAACTATAGTTACAGAACCATCTATTTCACCAATGTGGGATGTTGGACCACATCTCTGTTGTTACAATTACACCCAAAAGTTTCGCTTTTATAATAAAGGCAAAAGAGTACAGCAGGTTTATTGGCGAACGAAAGGATTTTCTTCAAGTAAATTAAAGCATAAAAAAAAATTAAGTGCAGATAATGTAAGTTTTAAGGTAATAGTTGATGAAAGCATTTTTTTTATTACAAGCTGTTTTAATGATTTGATACTTTTTTTTGAATACTGAAATTCTTTTTATTTTACAAATAATCAGTCTTTCTGTGGTGAGGTTCCCGTTTTCAAATTAACTCCAAACTCGTTTTCTATTGGGCCTGGTAAATATCAAGATGTATATTTAGAAGGATATTCAGACAGGTAAGTTGACGTGATTTTTTTTTTAAATATATATTTTTTAATGTTTTATGTTGAGTGTACTCTTAGCTTAAGATATTTTTTATTTATTTTCAAGTTACTAAAGAATTTTCTTTTTAGTGCAAAATTTGTTAAAGAAAAGTTATTTTGTCAAGCTATAATTGGAAGCAATTCCTACAAAGAAAATATAATGAACGTAGAAGTAGTTGCAAATTTTATTCAACCTTTGCTTGAATTTTCTGAAAAAAGTATTAATTTTAATATCATTAAGGTAAAAAACTATTTTTTTTTAATTTACATTTAATACTTATATTTAATAAAAGACAATAAATGATAAATGGTTTCATGTTGTGCTTAAGTAGTAAAATGTAAACTAAAAAGAAAAAACTTTTTGCAGTAGTGGTTTCTGGGATTTTTTTGTTTGTTGCAGATTAGTTTACAGTTTCATCTTTAGCATATTAAAGTTAGTAAAAATAATTACACAGTGTTTTTAGCAAACATTGGGGTTTTGGTAGTTCCCAGACTCCAATCACTGAGATTTACTTAATCATCAAATAAAGCTTTGATACTACTGCTTTCATCATTGGAAAGCCAAGGAGTTATAACAAGAATAGCGTATAAGCTGGGGCGGCCACTAGTTCTCCTTACCTGTAGACGCCATATTTTGGTAAGACATATTACCCAATTGAATATGATATATCCAAGTAGTAAAGTGTCTGGTCCAGAGAACCAGCTCTTTAAACACCTAAAATCTGTCAGGAATGATCTTGAAAAAGACAGAGTTCCGTTAATGAGGATTCAAACTCAAACAGAAACTTAGATAAATAAACAACATCTTGAGGCTGAACAGTTCTATAGAGATGTAATAAATAATAGGTTCCTGGTCTATTGTGTTTACTAAATTTATAGTCATCGACAGATTTCAAATTTTATTTAATAATATTCTAGCATTCGAAAGTTATGACAATGTAAAGTTTTTAACCCCCTCATTTTGGGGAGGGTGGAAAATTTAAATAGTCATAATTGTTGAATGGTAAAGTATTATTAGCTGAAATTTGAAATCTGGTGATGAATATAAATTTAGTTTAGTACAGCAGTAGTATAAATCTCGGTAACTTATTGCCCTCATATTTAGGACTGGGGGGCACAAGGTCTGGGGTTTTTGTAGTTGCCAGGCTCCAATCACTCCAATTTTTTCTCCAAAAGCATCCTTATTTGATATAAGTATAAACATACCCAAGTTTGAAGTTTGCTCCATGTCTAAAAGTCATTTATCTCAATCACCAAAAAAAGTTGCTGTTGTCTATGAAATAGGGAAAATCATTTTTTTTTGGTCTTCTTTTTGACATTTTTATATAAGTTTTCCAGCGTATATATTTATATAGAAAAAAAAATTGAATTCAATATTGTTTAAGGGTGGCAAACATGGGGTCAAAAAATGTTGAAAAAGGGTAAAAAAGGTACTTTAGGGTCGTGTGCCACCCTTAAACTTTTTTTAAAGTTAAAAAAAAAGAATCTTATATATAAAACAAGGGTTTGTGCAAATTTTTTTACCTAATTCTGAATCATCCTAATATATATATAAATGTGTATATATTTATATATATATATATATATATATATATATATATATATATATATATATATATATATATATATATATATATATATATATATATATATATATATATATATATATATAATATATATATATATATATAATATATATATATATGTAATATATATACAAGTAACATTATTGATAAAATCGAAACTCGAACAATAAAAACAAAATTTTTTAAGTCAGGATCTACGCAACTGCAATAACTTTATGTTTTTTTAAAAATTTGATTTCAAAGAAAAAAATATATATTTTTAACTCTTTATAACTTATTGCAAAAGTAACTCTATTAAACGAAATTAGCTATCTTACAACTTTTTTGTCCAAAATAAATGCGGCATAAGTAAGAAACATCTTTTTTTATTATGAGTTTTTATCATGAAATATAATGTTTTGTCAGTAATATATATTAAAAATTCAAGAATATCATGTCTGATTTTCATTTTAGTACTTTGTTGCACCACCTTTTGCTTTCACGACTTCTAAATGTCTTGGCATGCTTTTTACAAGCTTTGACGTGACGTCAGTACCAATTGAATTCCAAGTTTCACTAAGAACCTCAAAAAATTCTTTTTTATTTGTTTGTTTTGAAGGAGGTATTTTAGATTTTAAAATTGCCCATAAATTTTCAATGGGGTTAAGGTCCGGGCTTTGTGGTGGCCATTTAAGGATGTTAACTTTACTTTTTTTGAGGAATTGTTGTGCCACTTTGCTGGTGTGTTTGGGGTCATTGTCTTGTTGAAAAAAGAACTTGCGATCTAAATTCAATTTTTTAGCGGATTGACATAAATGTTTGGAAAGCAAATCAACATACAATTGTCCTGTCATTATAACTTCAACATTCACCAGTCTTCCCACACCATTTAAAGCAAAGCATCCCCAAACCATAATTGAGCCACCTCCATGTTTGACAGTTTTTCTAAGATTTCTATCTAAGAGTGCATCGCAAGGTCTGCGCCAAACTCTTTGTCGTTTTTTAAAGCCAAATATTTGAAATTTACTCTCATCAGACCATAACACTGAGTTCCAAAATGCCTCATCCTTGTTAATATGCAGTTTTGCAAATGCTAAGCGTTTTTTTTTGTTTATACCACTAATGAGGGGTTTACTTTTTTGAAGACGGTTTATTAAACCACTTGAATTAAGTCTTCTCTGTACAGTTCGACTGGAAACATTTAATTTAAGATTTTCAACAATCTGTCTTGAGGTTATTGTTGAATTTTGTTTTGCTATTCGCGCAATTAGCATATCAGTTCTTGTTGAAGTCTTAGGGGGGCGACCAAATCTTTTCTGATTTTCAACAGAACCAGTTGTTTCAAATTTTATACACATCTTTCTAACACCACTTATTGATATTTGATATTTTTCTGCACATTGCTTGTAGGTTAGGCCCTTTTTTTGATCACAAATGACCCGAGATCGGATGTCCAATGAATAATTTTGATGATGAACCATTATTATTGTTAGTTTTACTTTTTCTAAAAATAAATTCTGAAAAAATAAAGTTTAAAATGCTTATTTTTAATAAATTTAACAAAATCTCTTTAATAATAATCATTTTTAATAAATAGCTAGTGACGAAACATTATATTTCATAATAAAAACTCAAATGCGGTAGTGGTGTAGTGGTAGAGCGCTCGCTTCATAAATGAGTGGTTCCGAGTTCGATCCCCACCACGTCCCTAGTAGTACGGCGCTCAACTCGTTTCTCCGCGCAGCGGCCTTGTTCGTCAAGGTTCGTGTTTCAGAGTTATAGAGTTGAGAGAGGGTTATAGCCACAAATAAGTAGCCTCCTCGTCTGTAGTGGCCTTCTTGGCCTTGAGGAGGTGAATTAAAACAAAAAAAATAAAAAAAAATTAAAAAAAAAAAAATATTTCTTACTTTTGTCACATTTATTTTTGAAAAAAAATTTGTGAGATAGCTAATTTTGTTTAATAGATTAACTTTTGCAAGGAATTATAAAAAGTTATAAATGTATTTATTTTTCTTAGGAATCAAATTAAAAAAAAAACAGTTATGTAGATCTTGACGTAAATAATTTTGCTTGTATTGTTAGAGTATCAATTTTATCAAAAATGTTACTTAATTTTGTTCGTGACTGTATATATATATATATATATATATATATATATATATATATATATATATATATATATATATATATATATATATATATATATATATATATATATATATATATATATATATATATATATATATATATATATATATATATATATATATATATATATATATATATATATATATATTTAGTTACCTGATGAGGCTCTTACACTTGAAAGAAAATTAATGAAAATAAAAAACATTTCATTACTTCCTCTTACTTCATCGATTCTAGTAGAATATCCTTTTCATCTCAACTTTGCTGATATAAATACTTCTTCAAAGATAGATTTCATTGAAAACAGTACTTCTTCAATAGCAAGTTTTACTGAAAATGTTTCTTCAACAGCAGGCTTTACTAAAAACTGTACTACTTCAAAGGTAGACTTTACTCTAGATATAAATCAAGAATTAGTTCTTAATATTCATTTTGATCCATCTAGCAGAGACGATAAAATAAGTTGGTCAATTGAATCGTTAATGACAGTCTATTACAAAGATCACCCAAGAACTGACTGCATTTGTTTAAAAGGAGAAGTTCATTTTCCAAACCTGATCTTTGAAACAAATAAGGTAACAAATTTGTGATGTAAACTATTTTATAATTTTATATCTAAAAACTGTTGATTTTGAAAATTTAAGTATTGTTTTTAAAATTAACCAATTTCATACTTAAATATTCAAATTAAAGTAAGTTGTAATTTAAATTTAATTGATAAGGCTAAATTTAATATAAAAATCTAAATTTAATACACCAGGCTAAATTTAAAAGATAAAGCTAAATTTGATATATTTGACTAAATTTACTAAATATACAAAAATTCATGTATTGAAATTTTGTTTAAGATAAATTTTGAAACTGTCACAAATGATACAGAGCATATTCAAATGGTAAAAGTAACTAATATGAGTCCATTAGATGTCACTTATTCTTGGATTTTTAGTCACCATGATATTTCATTTAAAAAGGAAGAAATTAAAGGTTTGAATTATTTTTAATATATTTAGATTTAGATTTTTGTCTATTTAATTTAAATATACTTCTATTTTGTAGATTTTTGATTAACATTTTTATTATTAGTATTGTTATTAATTTAAGTTATTGGACTTGTGTCTTTTTTCAGGACATAATTTGAAAATATTAAAACTGCAACAAGCACATATTCTTAAATTCTTTTAAAGCGTTTGGGTTCAGAGATTGTTTTACTATTTCATGTATTCTTAAACATAATGTAGTCATTTTATACTTGCTATTAAGTTTTTTTTTAAAGTTTAGGTAATGATCAACTATTTATATTTTTATGCTTAACTTAATTCTTCCAAAGTTTACAAAAATTCTTATATACATTACAGTTAAACTTTTTTTTATTTGGCCCAGGCTGCCACAACATTCAGTTTTTTCTGTGTTTAAGTTAATAAGTTAATTTTTCAAATCAAAATGCCTTCTAATGATGTGTAAGTCAGGGATTAATTTATTTTCAATTATTGAAATTTTGTTGGCAATGTAGATGATGGATAATCAGCATAAATGGTAGATAAATTGGTATAAAGTATACTTCTCCTGTTTATTAATTTTTTGTTTGAAATAAGTTTTTACAGTTAAAATTTTTTTTTTTTTTTTTTATTTAGACAAAGACGAAATAACTATTTGTGTTGATCAAAGTTGTATCTCTACTAGTTTTTCAACTGATGAAACAAATTTTGTAACTAACAATGACAACAGTATCTCAACGTCAGATAAAACATTGTATGAGGTTGACAGTTTTTCAGTGACAGATAAAAATTTTTTCCATGAAATTGGTATTGAAGAGGTACAGTGTTTTCTATAAAATTCAAGTATTATACTCAAGTATTATAAAGTTTATTTTTTCCTAATCTGATATTTAATATGCTCCTTTTTAAATACTACTTTGAAAAAAAGTTGTCTAATTTATTACAGCAAATTTCTTTAGTTTTTTTATTTTTTTCTTTGAACAGGTTTTTGATATTTTCCCATTATTTGGTTGTTTAAAACCCAAAGAAACTCTTAATTTTCAATTCAGCTTTTATGGTCACCCATTTATAGTGGCAAATGCTGTTGCTACATGCAGTGTGGAAGAAGGACCTGAATACAATGTGTTTTTAAGTGGGGAGGCATCTTTAATAAGCTATAAATTAAACACAAAAGAAGTTGTTTTAGGAAAAATTGTTAGTAAATTTTTGTTCCAAATGTTTAATTACATATGCGTGATTATTTGCATAACAATACATTTTTAATTCTAAAGTATATAGTTTTTTTTATTTTATTTAATTTAGTTGTATGATCAAGCAACTATGTATGATATTCAACTGTTTAATACTGGAAGGTTAAAGTTTGAATACCATATACACCAGTGTGAATCAAGTAGTTTCTTAGCAGTTGCAAAAATTTTGCCAATAAAGGTTTTTTTTAATTATTTATAATAAAATAAAATTTTATATTCAAAGTTGTTTGTTCAAGTGATAAAGGTATAACAAACAATGGATAAATCAATTTTATCAAAATCATCATTTGTTAAAATTTATATTAGAACTAGGTTGTAGTTTGTGAAATTTTACATGATTTTAAGCAAACTTGCTTTTTAATCTGTTTGTTTATCTGCATTAAATTTTTTTTTTTTCTCTGAGAAAAATTAGGGACAATTGTTCTGTTACTAAACATCTGTTCTGTTTAGTAACTAAACAATTGTTCTGTTACTAAACATCTGTTCTGTTTAGTAATAGAACAATTGTTCTGTTACTAAACATCTGTTTTGTTTAGTAATAGAACAATTGTTCTGTTACTAAACATCTTTTCTGTTTAGTAACAAAACAATTGTTCTGTTACTAAACATCTGTTCTGTTTAGTAACAAAACAATTGTTCTGTTACTAAACAGAACAGATGTTTAGTAACAGAACAATTGTTCTGTTACTAAACAGAACAGATGTTTAGTAACAGAACAATTAATTTTTACAATATCTATAAAATAAAAATAGAAAATTTTCAAATAGAATTTTTGATAAATACAAAGAACAAATTTTCTAATTATAAAGAGACATAAATGGGATTAGGAATTAACCTAATCCTTTACTTAAGAATAAGTAACTTGAGCTTAGGGATCGTTCATAAATTACGTCATGCATTTTTTGACAGATTTTCACCCCCCCTCTCCCCCTCATCACAAAATCGTAACACTTAAGAAGCAAGTTTTGTTTGAGTCGTCACAAAACTACCAACCCCCCTCCCCCTTATAGTGTGACAATTTATGGACGACCCCTTACCAATAAAAAAAAAAAGTGACATCAAAATATCAATATCAATAATGCATTTATTCAGGAAAATAATTTGCAGGCTTTAAAAGTAATAAAGTTTTAAAAGTAATAACTTTCATCAAAAAAATTTTGGAAAAAAAAATAAAATAAAAGCAATTCTGTTGTTTTTTTAATTTTTTAAAAATTATTTGTCATATTCTAATAGTTTTTAAATTAACTTACAAAATAAAGTGAATTATGCAGCGAGAAAAAAAGACAATGTAAAAAATAAAAAATAAAAAAAGCAGTATTAATCAGTTGGTACAAAAAAATAGATAAATGTGTATATGTGATACACGTTAATTTAAAAATTTTATATATGTGTATATGTGATACAAGTTAATTTAAAAATTTTATGTAAACACATAAAAACTTTTTTAATCAGAGTTTTCTTTTTCTAGGCAAGTTACCTTCATCATAGCTTAGGTACTTCACCTGCGCTTTATTATATATATCAACTGAGATCAAAAATTTAATTTTTTTTTTTAGGGTGTTTTATCTGCAGGTGATGAAGCAAAATTAACAATTCAATGTGTACCAATTGTTCCACAAGATTTCGAGATTTATATCATGGTTAATTGATTATATATATATATATATATATATATATATATATATATATATATATATATATATATATATATATATATATATATATATATATATATATATATATATATATATATATATATATATATATATATATATCTGATATATATATATATATACAGATATATATATATATACAGATATATATATATATATATATCTGTGTGTGTGTGTGTGTGTATTTTTATTATTTTTAAAATAATTTTATTTTACATTTTTTGTTTAAATAAAAAGTGGAAAGCAAAGTTTTGACAAAAATATTGTTAGGATTAGTTTGAGTTAGGAAAAAACTTAAGCTATGGAAACAGGAGCAATTAAAATATCTGATAAAGGATTAATTTATTTGTCAAGGATATCATTAAGAGTATGCTCATTACAATCAATATAAAAATTAGATAAAATTTTTTCACAAGTAGTTCAGCCTTTATCTTGGAGTATTGATAAAATCTATCCTATGCAAGAGAGAAATGATTGATTGATTTGCCTTGTAAATAATAAACTGATTCACTTTTGTCAATGGCAAATTGTCTTAATGACTTTCTAAATGTCTTTTAAGGATGGTAAAAATTTTAGGAGCGCAGAGTGCACAGTCAATTATTATTATTATTATTTTAATTCATCTCCCCAAGGCCTCAAAGGCCACTACAGACAAGAAGGCTACTTAAATATAACCCTCTCTCAACTCTATAACTCCAAAACACGAACCTTGACTTACAAGTCCGCTGCACGGAGAAACAAGTTGAGCGCGGTACTACCAGGGACATGGTGGGGATCAAACTTGGAACCACTTGTTTATGAAGTGAGCATTACACCACTACCGCATGGATTTGTAGGATAAAGAAAAACAGTTTTGCGCAACTGAAACAGTGAGGTACCTAGTACAATAGTCTCATAAAAAAACTATGCAATTGGTTTTTTAATAAAGACTCATGTGATTTTACAATATAATAACGCAGTCTTACAATACAAATTAAATGAACCAACAAGGACACCACCCATGCACCATGTCTGTAAAGGTTAAACAGTCACTTCACTCTTGTTATATTTTAATGAAATATATAAGTTAGAACCAAAAAAAATGAGTCAAATAAGTCAATCCAGTACTTATCTTTGGCAAGACAATGTAACAAAAGTTTACATCTACAAAAAAAGTTTACACCTACCAAAGTGTTTTATTAAGTTAAAATTAAAAAAAAAAAATTTTCAATTTTTTGTAGTTTTTTACAGATTTTTGTTTAAATTTATGTATTTAGTTGGAAATGGCTTGTTTAACAGGTATTTAACAATTCGTTCTACTGAATATATTGAGAAATTGTGTAGAGAAACTCCAGTGTTCTGATTGTAGCTAGCTGATAATTATAAAAGTTTATAAATAAAAAAAAAGTTGAATAAAATGTTTATTACATTTAAGTAAAACTCATTTTTGCTTCAGTTTAAAAGCAATTGAATTTTTATGTCATAATTTTTTGTAACATTTTAGGTGCAGGTTGCTCACTTTCCTTCTGAAAAAATAACTATAAAAGGTACTGGAGTGTTTCCTCATATTATATTCAATTTACCAAAAGACGATCAGTCTGCACAATACAAACATTTACATGCTCAAGCTATTGAAAATTTATCAAAGCAGAAAATTTTCTCTACTGATGGAGTAAGTAATTTTATTATTTTATACAAAAGCAACATGGTGTAGCTTCTATTATTTTCTATTTAAATATAAATCTTTAATCTAATTTTGTATTTTTATTAAAATATTTTGATGCAATAATAGAAAAACAAAAATTATCAATATTAATTATGTATTTTAGAGTAAAATAAATGAAACAGATATTCAAGCTGAGATTGATAGACTTGAAATAAAAAAGTTTGTACTTGGAAAATTAAACAATATGGCAGAGACATCTCAATCTGTTTGTACAATAATGGAAAAATCACAAAGGTTAATTTTACAAATAAAAATATAAATGTTATAAAATTTGACATCAATTATAATATTTACTCAAAAAATAGGTTCTTTTATGCTTTCATTAATACTATATGTAGTAGGCTCATAAATGCTTCATAAATACTATATGTAGTAGGCTTATAAATGCTTAATGAATACTATATGTAGTAGGCTCATAAATGCTTCATGAATACTATATGTAGTAGGCTCATAAATGCTTCATGAATACTATATGTAGCAGGCTCATATGTGCTTTCATTAAAATTATTTGTGTTAGGACTGTGTTTCAAGTTCTTCTGTGAATAAAAATTACTAAGAATTGTTCCCCCCAAAAAAATTTTTACATAATAAATCATAGATTTTATTTTGACTTTAGACCATCTCTGACAGAGTATATTTTGGATTTTGGTGCTGTAATTTATGGATCAGTTGTGCGGAAAATGTTTCAAGTCATTAATATAGGTCATCTTCCTGTCTCTTTCTATGCAGAACATAAATGTATTTTAAAAACAGGCTTTAGTGTGAAAATAGATCCAGTTAAAGGTCTTCCTGGTTATCCTCAAAATGAGCATTTAGAGTTTGAAGCAGTATTTAGTCCTCAATCAGAAGAGTTATCTGTTGGACCTATTCAAACAGTGTTACCTATTAAGGTTAGCAAATTCGTTTGTTAAGTTTGAAGTTTTGTAAATTTAAGTTTATTATTTTTTTATTGCATGTTTAGGTTCTAAAAGGGCCGACTTTCAATCTTTGTTTTAAAGCATTTGTTACTATTCCAGATGCATCATTATCTGTAAATTTTGTTGAATTTGGTGAAGTTATATGTGGTCAATGTAAACTTATTGCATTGCAAATAAAAAACACTTCAAATGTTTTGTAAGTTCTAATTATATTTTTTGTATTATTTCTTTTTATACAAAAATGGTTGTTTACAACTTTTATATTATTTTATATAAGTTCTAATAAACATCATAAAGTATATCTACAAAAGTATAAGCATAATTAATGTGCTTCTAAAAGTTTTGTTAAGTCTTATTATCTTTTTTCAAATACAATTCATATGGTTGACATTTGTTTGCTTTTTTAAGTTAAAAGTTTTTTTGTTTTTTTTTAACGTTTTTAAAAGCTCAACTTTATAATCTTTAATATTAAAAATCTTTGTGGTTTACAAGTAATTTGTTTTATTTTTTGTTTTAATTAACATTATAGTTAGTAAAATTTGTCAAATAAAATTTGGTATAAAATTAAAACATAATCATCTCCCTCTCATTCACACATCAGTTAATTAACTTTTTTAACATAAATGGTGCTTCTATCTTCGAGTATTATTATTTCTTTTTTCTAGTAAAATAAGAACGTAAGATAAGAATGTTAAATCCAGGTTGATTTCAACAGTTTTTCTTTCAAAATTTTGTGTTATAACTAGGCTTTAAAAGGACTATGTTTTAAAAGCTTGCTTCTTTTTAAGGTTGAGGTCTAACTTTACTGTAACAAAGATGACCAAATCAATGACATCTGCTAATTGCAAAATGCAATGCAATTTGAAATGCAATTTGCAATGCAATTTGCAATGTAATATAAATTTAAGAAAATATTAAGAAAACTTAAATTATTTACATATAAATAGTAAATTAATAAATTTTGTTCTAATTCATAAAAAAAATTTATGTTTTTAGCTGTCATTGGCATTTCCTTCAAGATTTAGAGGTTTGTTAAAATCTTGCTGAGTTATGGAAATAATTGAAAGAATGATACAATAAATAATTGAGTGCAAGAATTATACAATAAATAGTTGAGTGTTTGGGTACATAATTCATAAGTTATGGATTTAATTACTTTCCACAACTCATAGGTTATGAATTCATTTACTTTTCACAACTCATGAGTTATGCATTCAATTACTTACATTACTAGTTCATAAATTTTTTGTGGGAAAAAAAAAGTTGTTGGTTTTTAATTTAAAATGTTAGTCTATATAAACATCTGTTCAACCAAAAACTTCATTATCAAAATATAAAAATGTTTAGCTGTCTACTTTCCAATGTTTATAAGTTATTAAAAATTAACTCTTTATTTATTGTTACAAGTTATTAAAAATTAACTCTTTATTTATTGTTATAAGTTATTAAAAATTAACTCTTTATTTATTGTTATAAGTTATTAAAAATTAACTCTTTATTTATTGTTATAAGTTATTAAAAATTAACTCTTTATTTATTGTTATAAGTTATTAAAAATTAACTCTTTATTTATTGTTATAATTATTAAAAATTAACTCTTTATTTATTGTTATAAGTTTTAAACTATGATCTAAAGAAATTATTTGTCATTAACACTTTTAGAATAAAAAATCTCCAACTAAGAAAACCGCCAGAGCTCCATCACAAGTGAGTATCTTTGAGCTTCTGCCTTCAAATGGTTTTTTATTACCTGGTCAAAGTCAAAATATCAATGTGAAGTTTATGCCAAGAGAAGAAGTAATTTTTAATTTATTTAATTAAAATTTTTTTTATTTTAAAACACTTTTGTGAAGAAAATTTCAAAATTTTTTCTTTTTTGTTCCATATTTTTCAGAATGTTGAAAATAAACAAAATAAAAAATAAACAAAAATCTTGACTATATCATTGATAAAATATTTTTCTATTTTTCAAACTTTTCTATTTTTTAAATTATTTAACATTAAATTATTAAACATTTAAATCAGTTATGAAAATGTACAGATTTTTTTAAATTATTTGGAATTACAGAGTTTCTTTGCATTTTTTACCACTTCTCATACTTTATAATTGGATTTAGCTACATTTTTTTGATACTCAACTATTCAAAATGAAAAGCTGTTTTTATGTCGTCCAAAACTCATGTCTTAGTATAAGAATTTTGTAAGAGTTTTGAAACCACAGAAGAATTTGATCTTTTTGTGCAAATCTGTTGATAATTGTTTATTGGTTATTTCAATATTTCTATTTATTTATATATCTAAAAAACATAAGCTTTATTGTTATATTGCTTGAAAATTTATAAATATAATGATTTTAATATTTAACAGATTTTACATATTAAAAAAATGTATTAGGATGTTCAAAAATGTATGTATGATGTATGCATGTATATATGTATGCAACCTTCGAAATTAGAAAAAATGAGGTCGCCAATAATTTGCTAACCTCAATCTTTTAAAGGTCGCCATCAGGTCGGCAAAAAAAATTTGGTACATAGGTGTTACCATAAAGCATAGAAACGAGGTCGGCAAAAAGTTGCTGATCTCAAACACTTTTAGGTTGGCAATTAGGTTGGCATTGTTGAATGCTGACCCTAATTCCGAGGTTTGTGTATGTATGTATGTATGTATGAATGTATATATGTATGTATGTATGTATGTATGTATGTATGTATGTATGTATGTATGTATGTATGTATGTATGTATGTATGTATGTATGTACGTACGTACGTACGTACGTATGTATTTATGTATGTATGTATGTATGTATGTATGTATGTATGTATGTATGTATGTATGTATTGTGTGTGTGTATATATTGTGTGTGTGTATATATGTATGTATGTATTATATTTTTTACATTGGCTAGTTTTTTATTAGCCAACATAAGATTATATAGCCAACATAAGATTATATAAGCTAACTTAAGATTAAGCCAACAAAAAATTAAATTAATAAAAAAAAAAAAAACTTGTTTTTTCATAACTTTATATGCTATTTTTTATGCATTAAATTTAACAATTTATTGAATTAAAAAATTTTTTATGATTTTATTTTGTGTTTTAATTGGTTATTTTATATATATATATATATATATATATATATATATATATATATATATATATATATATATATATATATATATATATATATATATATATATTTATATATATATATTTATATATATAAATATATATATATATATATATACATATATATATATATATATATATATATATATATATATATATATATATATATATATATGTGTAATATTTTTTTGTTAATATTTGTAGGCTAATTATTCAAAAAAGTTATGCATTAAATTATCTCAGAGCACAATCCAACCTTTTATAATGTGCAAAGGAACGGGAAAAGAACCGCATATTGAGTTAGATAACAAAGTTTTAATCTTTCCCCCTGTTCTTCCATTTTGTGGTAAAGCTGAAGTCATTGTTAAAGTAACAAATCCTTGCACATTTCCTGTTGAGTTTTATTCTTTAGAGTTTGATAAACAATATCTTGAAGAGGAGAAGGTACTTAAAAATTGCTTTTTATACTAATTTTAAAGTTATCTAAAATTAAAAGCGCACTTTTTTTTGCGTATTGCACATTGAGTATAATACTCACATCATACTCAATACGGAACTCAACATATGCATTTTTTTTTAGTATAATGATGATAAGTTGAGTATAATTATGATAAGTTGCATATAGTTGCATAATTATGATAAGTTGCATATAGTTGCATAATTATGATAAGTTGCATATAAGTTGCATAAGTTGAGTATAATTATGATAAGTTGATAAGATAAAGATGATAAAAGTATAATGATGATAAGTTGAGTATAATTATGATAAGTTGCATACTGAGGTATGCAACTTATCATAACTATTTTTGTTGAGTAAAATAAATTGTTGAGTATTTTGCGTAAACATAGTTTCCGCATAAAATTTTCAAATTTGGTGACGCTGAAAAAACTTAAAGTTCAGTTATGAACTTTTTATTGCCAAACAGAAATCGATTGTATTTATTGCAATAAAGTATTACAGCTGGGTAACTGGCATATTAAAAGACTTTTAGAGTGTCATAAAATTCATTTACCATGTGAGAAATCTTTTGTCTATAATATTATTCCTAAGGTAGTTAAAAAGATTAAAAAAACCAATCACGACCTATCTTAGAAAAACCAAAACTGTTACCTTAATAGCTGGGATATCTGGGATAGTTATCAAATGGCTGTTTGTTTGCCTTATGTTGCCAGGTTATTTTTGTTGATTTCAGTAAAAACCTAATAGTTCTTGGTATTAATATAATATTTTTATATTTTTAAATGCTAAATTCTGACTTAGAAATCGATAATTGGATTGAAGAAGATTTTTGGGAAGACTTGTTTGAAAATGATGATGGGAAGACTTGTTTTAAAATAGCAATGAGAATAACCAGGAACTAAAAGATTCACCTGAAAATAAAATTGATCCTGAAATAAACGAGTTACTTACTGAGGAAATAAATCCAATTCAAAATGATATTAAGTTAAGCAAGCTATCTAATGAGATAGGTGTTGAGGTTGATGCTACTGGATTTGATGATCCTAAAAAATTATGAATTTGGGGATTATAGATCAATTAGAGCTTGAACGGCAGAAGAAAAGTCCCTCGATTTGCATGGGAAAACCACAAATTTAATATTTCTATATACGTAATACTGTGAGGTCATGCACATGATTGAAAACAGTTTTGTCATTGCTTTGTTCATTTGCTAAACAGACTCATCAGAAAATTAAAATTGCTCGAGTATGTCCTGTTACTCAAGCAGAGATTGAATTCTATTTATCAATGATGCTCCCAGTATATAGATTTACACTTTTGAATCAGAGAAATTGCGCACATATGGGTGATTTGGTACCAAGTTTACATTAGTTAGAAATGCAATATGAGGAAATGGCTAAAAAAAGACAATAAAACAGAAATTTTTTGCAAACTTTTGATACAAAATCTAAAAAAAACAGTTTGATTATGAGCTTAACTCTGCTGTTTATGCAGCTGCTGCAGTTTTAAATATTTCTAAACTTTACCTCTGGTATCAAAGACCGATAACTGAAGCCACAGTCAATTTAGGCCTAAGCTCATTAGTAAACTTGAATTTAATAAAAAAAATGATCTGACTGCAAATGCTAAAAGTAGTCTCACTCAAAAAAGTGTCATTACCAAAGTATAGAATTGGATCAGATAGAATACAACAAAACAGAACTTAGCATTGAGCATTTAGCTGACAAAGAAAGAGATAAATTTATAAATATTCTAGGAAACCATACTTTCACAAATTAGCCAAGCTCAATGAACTGGCTGAATGAAAATATTTTCTTAATTCTTTTGTAAATAATTTTTTTGATTATTGTTTTGTTTATGAGTTGCAATTACGTTTTTGAAAATTTTTCACCTTTGCTTTTCTTTTTTTTTTTTTTTTATGTTTTAAATGTATTCAAGTAAAACATATTATAAAAGTAAAAATTAATTTTTACTTTTATTTGCTTTTTTTGTTTTTTTGTTTGGAATGCATTAAAGTAAAACATATTATTGAAAAACAAAATTCTATTTTACACTCCAAAAAATTGCGTATTTTTACGCAAAATATTCAAAAATAATATGTACAACTAGTTGCGTATTGAGTATTCTACTCAATAATGGTTATGATAAGTTGCGTACTGAGTATTATACTCAAAAAATGTGTATGTTAAGTTGAGTATTGAGTATGATATGAGTATTATACTCAATATGCAATACACAAAAAAAAGTGCATTCTGATGTATGAGATGCTGGTTAGTTTAAAAGTTATTTAACATTTACTGTTGTGTTTTAATTGTGAAAATTATTTTCAGTTTATTTAAGTCTAGGCAGGAAACTCCACATGTCTTTACATAACTTTCCACAAGTCTTTACATAACTTTCCACAAGTCTTTAAATAACTTTCCACAAGTCTTTACATAACTTTTCACAAGTCTTTACATAATTTTCCACAAGTCTTTACATAACTTTCCACAAGTCTTTACATAACTTTCCACAAGTCTTTACATATCTTTCCACAAGTCTTTACATAACTTTGAAGCAAAAAAAAACAAGTCTTTACATTACTTTGAACCAAAACCACAAGTCTTTACATAACTTTGAACCAAAACAACAAGTCTTTACATAGCTTTGAACCAAAACCAGCTTTGAGATTTTAAATTTCAATTTTAAAGTCTTGAAATTGAATTTTAGTTTGTTTACTCTTGTTAAATTGGAATGTACATATAAAAACCAAGACAAAATAAGGAGGGTATAAATTTTAGATTAACATTTAAAAAAAAGAGATTTTCCAATATTTAAATCTGTTTATAAATTTTTATATTATTAAAGATAGTCTTTTTTTTTTTTTTTGTTAATTCACCTCCTCAGGGCCGAGAAGGCCACTACAGACGAGGAGGCTTCTTATTTGTGGTTATATAACCCTCTCTCAACTCTATAACTCTGAAACACGAACCTTGACGAACAAGGTCGCTACGCGGAGAAACGAGTTGAGCACGGTACTACCAGGGACGTGGTGGGAATTGAACTCTTGAAATGAAACTTCAAAAGTACATGCAACTTTATGGAAGGGTGAGGGATAAAAGTACATGCAACTTTATGGAAGGGTGAGGGACAAAAGTACATGCAACTTTATGGAAGGGTGAGGGACAAAAGTACATGCAACTTTATGGAAGGGTGAGGGACAAAAGTACATGCAACTTTATGGAAGGGTGAGGGACAAAAGTTTCACAATACATTTTTCTCTAGACTTTATTTACTGTGTGCATTTGGTAATGCATCCTATTTTTACAGATTTACTATGTGCATTTAGCAATTCATCCTAATTTTACAGATTTATTGTGTGTATTTGGCAATTCATCCTAATTTTACAAGTCAAAAAAATCTCTAAAAATTTCTTTTGTGTACTTAATGTTAACTGTTGAGTACTTAATGCTAACTGTTATTTATATAAATAGTTTATATAAAAATAGTAAACAATTAGTTTCTGTATTAATTATTATTTATTCTATAAAATAATTAGTAATGATTCTATAGAGTGTGTTCGTGGGTCACGTGACTTAAGAAATGTTGTCATTGTAAGAGGATCAAAAGGTAAACAAAACTGATATAATAAAAAAATATACAATTAGGATTTTTTAAATGAATTTTTAGGGTAGCATTTTATTGCACATTAATTATAATATATAATAGGTGTTATAAGTTACATATCCAAAATAATTTAAAAAAAAAACTTAGATTTGAATAATTTGAAAGATGGAGAACCTCATTAAACATTGGACAAAATTTTTCATTCAGTATGTGCTTTAGTTAACTTTAGTAGCATTTAATTAGCAAATAATTTGTTCAATAATTTAAGAATAATATGCCATTAAACAGATGTTTACGAGATTTATTGAACGAAATATTATTTTATCTAAATCTTTTTTACAAAATATTATTTTATCTAAATCGTTCCTAGAATAGCCTTTAGTATTGATTTATAATTAAAAAAACATTTTGTAATTAACTTTGCTGGGGGGTTTGGTGGTAACCATTATGAGTTATAATATATAACTCATAATGGTTCCATTATGTTTTTATCAATCCAAAATAAAACTGCGGTGATATTTCTACATTCTTCAGCAAAGCTTGCCTCGCAATTACAGTGTGAATATTAAATTCTGCAAAAATCCATGGATTAATTTGGGTATCATTTAGATTTTGAGAATGAAACACCTAAAAAATTTATTCTTATTTAAACGCTTCAATGATTTAATGGTCATCATATCCTCAGATGTATAAGAACTTGGTGAAAAATAATAGATAATATAATAAATCAGTGTAACTTACAGCTGGAAATATTTCCTTTACAGCTTGGAAATATGTGCCTTTGTATAAGATTTGTGATCATATCTGTTTTTGGAAGGTTTATCTAATGCTTTGTAGTATGACATTTTTTTATAGTAAATCTAGTAAATAAATTTGATATTGATTTTAAAAAAATCTTGATTATTATACCATATTGGTACTAAATATTATATTAATATATTAATATTGGTACTAAAACCTAATAAAAACCTATTTATAAATGGTATTAACATTAATACTGCAAATAGTTTGTTTACTTTTTTTATCCTCTCATAATGACAACTTTAAAAAAGTCACATGCATAAAAGGGCTGCATAACAAAATGGATATATATAGTGGAATACTATGTTGTTCTATGAGTTTTTTTGTGTGTATCAGGAATTGAAATAATTGTTAGACATCAGCACTGCTCTGATCAGTTCAGATCAGATAAGACTCGCTAGAGGAGGACAAACAACCATTATGTTTATTTTGTCAGAAAATATTAAAAATATTTTCTGACAAAATGAAAAGTATATATATATATATATATATATATATATATATATATATATATATATATATATATATATATATATATATATATATATATATATATATATATATATATATATATATATATATATATATATATATATATATATATATATATATATATATATATATATATATATATATATATATATATATATATTATATATATATATATATATTATATATAATATATATATATATATATTATATATAATATATATATATATATATATATATATATACATGTACATATATAAATTTTGTAATTTATTCTGAACTATTGAATTCTTTATTTTTATTTAATTTATTACAACTATATTTTTTTCATATTTGAAAGATTTTACAATCATTTCATTGTTATGATAATAACAATATGATTTTATTACCTCCACGACATCCTGGTGAAAGTCTGCCTAAAGAAATTTTAACCTACTGGGAAAAATCTCACAAATCTATTGAAAATTCTCCTAGAGAATCACCTGTTAATAACAATTCACCCAGTTTTAATTTGAATGAAAATGACAAGAAAGGTATTAAATTTTTTTTTTTGCTAATTCTTCTTCTCAAGGCCAAAATAGTATAGGCCACTACTATTAGAGGTAGTAGTATGGTATGGTACTATTACTACCATAATGGTAGTCTATACTTTGTATTCTCAATAAATCCCAAACAGAAATCTTAATAAGCAACACCACCTTATTAAAAAAAAAAGTTCTACACCACTACTATTTGCCAGCAGAATTTTTAATCAACTTGAATTCCTTTTACATTTATAATAACTTTTAAAAAAATATATTTTAAATGTTGGTATTGTGATTAGGGTTTGCATTACCAATAAATGATCAACCAGCTTACCAGTTTTTTTTTTATTTATTAAAATTACCTGTAAATCAAAAAGCTTTATTTTTTGTCTACCTGCAATAGTTTAGCACATTATTTCAAACACACTATTTTCTACATTTTTGACATAAGAAAACAGCTAAAACCAATATGGTTTCAAAGTTTGCAAATTCTATAAAAAGATAAGGGATAAAGTTAAATTTTATAATAACAAATGGTGCAGCGTTTATAATAAAGAATGGTGAAGCATTTGTTATAACAAATGGTGCAGTGTTTGTAATAGTTTGAGCTTTAAAATACGTCATCATTAATTTTGAACACATGGTTTACTGCTTGCTGTTAATGAATTATTGTACAAAAAGTATGAACCAGTTTAATTATCTAGTGAGTTAAGTGAAGAAAAATGTAAAAAGCAATAGATAGCTGGTGCTTCTACTTTGCTGAATGTCCTGGTTCCTGGCAGAACTTTTAAAGATTTACCTCCGCCTGCTCGACTAAGTTTGACGGTACCTTCTGGAGAGGCATCTATTTTAGAGATTAAATCAGCTGCTATTTGTTCAGCACACTTACGTTCCTCTACAGCAAATTTCTCTACATTTTTCTGCCTTTAGTACAACATTGAGGATGTTCTTTTGCAGGTACTGAAAAAAAAAATAATGCATCTTTTTTCAGCTAGCTGTGATGATGAAGATTTGAGGCTGAAAGCTTTGTTTCAGGGTAGACTTATTTTTTGATTCAATATATCAAGCTCGATCTGTGACATGTTTTCTTTGAGCTTTGATTTGACCACCCTAGAAATTATATTTTGGCAAGCACCAGAATACCTTGTAGATGGCTTAATGGTAATCGAATCGAAATGGTACAAGTCTGGCATCTGTCCAATAATACTGACAGTATTAAGTCGTTGTAGTTTGCTTTTACATGAATTACAAATGCCCATTGGAATTTCCTCTTCATTGAAATTAATACTACACTTAAATTATTAATTAAATATTCTTGACTCTTTCAATCAAAAAATCAGTTAATATGTAATCACTTTTCTTCAAACACAAAAAGCAAAGTGATTTTCTGCAATCACCATGAGTTCTTGCTGAATTAGACATTTTTTGACAAAGAAAAATTAATTTTAAACAGAAATGCTGATTTATTTATTTACATTATTTCAGAGACAAAAATTTAATGCACCAACATATGTCAATTTTATTGTCTTTAGATTTGAATTTTTAAATAAAGGTGGAAAAAAAAGTTAAACAATAGTTTAATGCAATGTTGTTTAGAGATATTTGCAACATTTAAGACAAAACAAAAGGATTTTTTAGTGACTTTTAGCAGTTGAAACTAGACACTAGATAATCGGTATCATATAAGTCTATATCAAGAAGGATGGTCTCGTATCATATGGTATCGCTTATATACTAATATCAATACTATCAGTATCGGTTCAATACCACTTAATATCGAGAAGGATGGTCTTGTATAGTGTGGTATCGTTTATGTACCAATATCGATACTATCAGTATCACTTTGATACCAAACGATACCAAGTACAATTGCTTTTTAGAGATTTAGTTATTGTTTTTTTAACAATCTCCAATACTTTGGCTATCGCCCATTTGTTGTTTTTCCCTTTGCTGTACTTTCGCTGGTATTTTAGAATTTTTTTCTATTAATATTTTGATAATTTTGGTGGCATTTACTGTAAATTTTACATCTAAACAATGTCAAATGACTTTGGTATGAATATTTTCAGAAATATTATTACCAAAAAAAAGACCCTTTGATAGGCGTAAATTTTTTTTTTTTTTGTATTTAGTTAGTAGGTATCTATATATGAAACAAAAAAAATTCAGAGTGGGCAGACATACAATCTGGTAGTCAATTTAGTGTTCTTTCAGCATTCTCCCTAAAAATTAGTCAATTTATGAATTCTTGCTCCACCAATTAAATTAAATTTTTTTAAATCTTAATAGTTAGTAAACAATAATAGTATTAATAATTATTAACAGTAAATTACTAGTAAGCAACCCTTAACACAGGTTATTAGTAATTAAATTATTAATAACAATAAAAACACATTAGAAACTTGATATATTATTAAAAATATAAAATTAAATAAAATTTATCTCTAAATAATATTTTAAGTTTGACTTCCTAACAGCAATGTAATTGCTTATAGTTAACGGCATAAAAAGAATGCATTAACATCAGTTAAGTTCTTCTTAAAATGTCACAACACAGCAGGTACCAGAAAAAGAAAGTGAAATAAAGCCTGTCAATATCTAAAAAAAGAAATGAAAAAAAAAAAACAATTTTTAATTACAAAAGTATTATTTGCATTTTGTTAGTATAATTAGAATAATAAAACACAGTAACAATAGCGCATAACATAAGGCTATATTAATGTCTCCAGAATAATTAAAAAAGAAAAGATTATAAAAACAACGTAATACATACAAACAAAATGTAATAACAGTGGCAAGTAGCACTACAACTTAATAAGTTATTTTATTAACTAAAGTACTTGAAACTAAAAAGATTTTGTTTAATACAATATTTGAACAACCAATTATAGTTGAACAATTATAGTTGGACAATTATAGTTGAACAATTAAAAAAATTATATCTTAAAATTTGTGAAATATATCTTATAAATTGTTATCATCAATTATAGTATTAAAAAATACGCAACAGCTCAGTAATAACATGAGTTTTATCAATTCTTCCTGTACTAACTCTCATTTAAGTCTCATCTAAGAGAGAGAGAGAGAGGAAGTGTTTCAAAAGCAGCATGTTAAAAAAAGTAAAAAAGCAATGCAATAAATAACAGTAACTGGTTTTATTATGCTACCAATACACAAAATTATTTTTACCTTAACTAAAAGTTAATTTCCAGCATTTCTTAATTAAGTTCCAGCTTCTCTTTAAATGTTGACTAATGATTAATATAGTAAATTTCACATCATATTCAATTTACAAAATTAAAACCATGTTTCAACAGTAAGCAAAATAATCAAGTGATGACAAAGGAAACTAAAAAAAAGAAAAAAGAAAAAATTATGTTTGAGATTACAAAAAAAAAAAAATTAAAATCATTTAAATTTGAAACTGTCATTAATTGTTACTCTAAATAGTAAAATTCATAGTTTGCTTTGTTCTAAAGTGTCTAATAAAAAATCAAATTAATAGACATTAACACCAGTTGACACTGAATTCTGGCAAGTAAGTTTTCTGTTTATTGAGCAGAATTTCTTACATTTCAACGATAATTAATTTCATCATGCCAGATCTATCTCTTTCATTTAACAACAATTTTTTTCAAGTAGCCTTTTACCATTTACACTAACAACAATCTGTTATTATTAAACATATTACCAGTGATTATACTACTATTACAACTGAATAAATAAACATAAAATAATTTTACGAATTGTGATCTTTTCTATTATTCAAAGACTATATTTTAAATTAAGATTTATTGATATCTATGTATTTTTATAAGTTTATATATATATATATATATATATATATATATATATATATATATATATATATATATATATATATATATATATATATATATATATATATATATATATATATATATATATATGTATATATATATATATATATATATATATATATATATATATATATATATATATATATATATATATATATATATATATATATATATATATATATATATATATATATATATATATATATATATAAGTCGTTTATTAAAAATATAAAACAAAATTTATTTAGGGGAGAGCTGTCGAAATTGGAACACTTGCATTTATTTTTGGAAAAAAAATGGCTATATTTTGCATTTTTTTAGTAAAACGCATTATTTTCTACGTTTTGACACATGAAAGTTATTTCTCAAAAAATATGTTTGCACCATTAACTAAAAGTTTTTTTGTGTCATTTTTTTTCAGTGATACAATTTTGTGTTTGCACTATATTAATTGCGCTGGGTAACCTATAATGCTATAGGTTATACCGTTTTTTGTTTAATTCAATGGGATTTGAAAAACAAAATAACTATATAATCTTATCTTATAAGTTGCTGCAAGCATGTTATTGTACTGATATAACATAATAGTCGAAAGTTTCCTTGATTTGAACATCGAAGTTTTCCTTACCTAATCAGTAATAAAATCAAAGGGTTGTAAAAATAGTTCGAGTGCAATTTAAAAAAAACTTAGTAACAACCATAAACTTTCAAAATAATACTTTATTTAGTGATTTTTAATCAATAAATTAAGAGAACGTCATAATAGTTGAAGCTTTATACAATTTTTTGTTTGTAGACTTAAAATTTGTTAGGGTAATTCTAATCCTTCAATAAGTTTTAAATTAACTGTTTAAATTTTCACTGTAAAAAAGATGAAAATCATTTTTTAAATTTTCACTGTAAAAAAGATGAAAATCATTTTTTACAAATTTTGCTGATTTTACAGGTTTCTTTTTTTTTTTTTTAAATAACCTGTTTTGATTAAGGAATTAAAGTGTTCCAATTTAGGGAACCAGTTGCCTTGATTGGAACAAAATGGTAACTTTGCAAAAACAAATTTATTTCCAATAACAGTGCAATCAATTAAACCAAATTGTATTTAAAAATATAGTAGGGATGTCTGTGTTTGTATTAATCAAATGATAAATGTTTTCATAGTTAAGCCATCTT